TCACTTTTGCTCAGTGTATCTCAATGCGATTTATTTCCTTGGTATTTCTATGGATTTCAATAATTCTGTGTACTCGTTTCAATAACTCTGTTGGGGGAGGGGAACTGTGGCACAAAAAAGGTTAAGCTCCCTGCCCCAGAAGGACCCAGCAGTTCCCAAGAGTGATTTACAACCCGAATACCAGTTTGCCGGCACTGTATACACAGGCTCGCCTTTCTGCAGCCTCCAAGCAATACTGGCAACATCCCACTTCTTCACACAGCAGGAGCTGTTTGCTGGTGCAGTGAAGTACTTCGACATCCAGACCACCATTGGCAAATACTGACAGCGTATTTGCCCAAGAGTAAGAGGACTCTGTTATGAACAATCGCTGGGTATGCTTAAGTTAACCCTTCCCAAAAGGAAAAAGCAAAGTTCAGAGGGATTACAGCAACTAGATCTTCCATCCTTCCACCCCACCCCCCACTCCCGAATTTTAGGAATGTTATCTCTCAGCATCTAGTTATCCAATAAGTTGGAAGAATGCAGTAAACCCAGCAGGGGGCTTAGATTCAATCACAGCCAAATGGATAGAAAATACTCTTACTATTGTATAGCAAGAAAAGCTCATCTGCCAGAGGCCAATCAAATTCTGAAGCCTATGAAAATGCTTGTATATCTTGAGACAAGCATTATGCCTGAAGCTTATCTTTTTTCCCTCCCATTCCTATATTAAAAGAACTACAAAAGTAGATTATCTAAAGTACTTAATATCTCTTACCCCACCCCCACCAGCAGGATAACTGCTTACCAAAAAACAAAAGGAAATTGAGATGTGCTTAAGTACTGAACCAGTTAAAAAAAAAGTGCTTAAAATTAAACCAGTTTAATTTTGCATCTGCATTCAGCAGTGTGAGAAATGCCTTTAACTCAATTTGTAGGTGGCAAATTAGAGCTGTAATTAAGTTTCCATTTAATAAAAAAAAAAAAAAATTGTTCCAAACGGTCTTGGATCAAAACTCGAGTTTGCTGAAAAGGAAGAAGTAAAAGAATCAAAGTTTTTTGTGCTGACGTGTGCAAGCTCTGCTGTGTATGCTAGATACATCCCATTCTGCCTCAACTGGAGCTCATCTTTTATCTTTTTTTAGTTCTACCAGTTTATTGCTACCAACCCATCTCCCTCCACCCTCGTGCACACATGCTCGGTCATGTAACCCCATGGACTGCAGCCCGCCAGGCTCCTCTGTCCATGGACTTTTCCAGGCAAGAATACTGGAGTGGGTTGCCATTTCCTTCTCCATGGAGCTCATCTTTTAAAAGCAAGTTGTAAATTTCATGCAGGCAGTTTTTGCTATCTCCTTCCCCAGAACCCCTTAGAACAAAACCTGACATGGACTCGAAATTTGGGGGGAAAAATGGATAGCGATGATGGGAGATGCAGTTCTTATCTGGATTTAGAGGCTTCGAAAGATGGTTTAGATGCTTTTTTAAGCAATCAAAAGCACACAGGTGATGGATGATGAAAAGGGACATCTTAAACTCTTTCCATCATTCTTTCCAAAGCAGTAAAGCCCGGAGCACCAAATGCAAACTCTGTTTAATTTCCAAATTGCTTCCTGGACCCCTTATTCTAAGGCCTACAACGGCCCGGCTCCTCCATCTGATAGAATACTGATAGAAAATCCCATCCCATAACCAACTCCTCTAAAACCACAATAAACACAACTTCTTGGATTTAGAGCAAGGCTCAAATCAAACAGGACAAGGAAACTCTGGGCAAGCCATTGCAACCAGGAGCTGTAGTTTAAACTGAGCAAAAACGAAAAGCAAAGGTAATGTACGTGAGGTCTCCAGCCTGGTGTGTACTACAGATAAAACTGCAGAATTATCCCAGTTTGGCAGTTCAGCTGTCTTGACACAAATTCTTTTTAATTGTTATTTTGAATAAAATTAATTACCCATCACATTTCCAGCACACAGTGGGCCTTCTATAGTTGAAACTATCTAAATAGGGTGTTTCATCTTCCTAGTACTGAGAAAGACCCAGAAGCTCAGAAATCAAAGCTTACAGCTGAAAGTCTTACAACCAGATTGGAATGCACACCTCACTCTTATACCTTACAAAAATACTTCATTTCATCTAAAAAAAGGAAGATTAACTCTATCCCTCCCTCCCAAGATGGCTCCCTAACATGAGGAAGGCTGAAGGAGCTTGAAGGATCAGCTAGGGCCTGTGCAACTTCTTTTTAACGGAACAAAGAGGCGTGGGCAAGCTGTAGCCCTCGTCTTTGGGAAAGCCAGATGCAAACACAGAAACTCGGCCTGCAACATTCACTGAGGCCACTGTCACCAAGATTTCCCTTTCCCTCAATTAAAACAGAAACTCCCAAGTGTCCCCTTCTGACTCTTTACCGCCGATGTAGGTCATTTCAGTTTAGAAACTGAGGCTAGGAGGTTATTTGAAATTGGGGAATCTTAATCGTTGATGGTTGTAATCCAGTTTAGCACAAAGGGCATTTGAACCTCTTTTGAAAAAAATGCTAATTTTCCTGTACAAGGCCCGAGTCCCCTTACCACCTGCAGATTTCTTGGATCTAACTGATGGCCAAACTTCATTTTCCTCCCTCAAAAAGTGCGTTTCTTTTTTAAGTGGTCTCAAGTCGGCTGTGCACAATAAGATCAGTCTAAACTGGATGTTTTTAATCATATACATACACACAAACAGGGGCTCAAACACAAAATGTATCCATTAAAACGGACTGCTTGGGAATGCACTGCCACTACCTTCTATTTCACGGCGGCAACTGGGGGCTCTGCAAACCCATACTAGGACTGAAGAATTCTTTCCAAGAATTCTAAACACCTGGCAAAGAAAATTCAGCACCGCCAGGGAGAGCACCAGGAACTGACTGGAGTCCCGAGGAGCGCCCAGCCCAGAGCTCTTCAACCCCCGGCCCCAGCGCGTCCCTCCCATCAGGTGGGAGCCGGTACCTGCGAGGGACCCGCCTCTCAGCCGAGCGCGAGGTTCTCAGCTGGGCCTCCAGGGGACGCCCGCGCGCAGCTCAGCGGCCACCGCAACCCCAGCGATCAATAGCAACTCCCCCTCCCCAATTGTGGAGGGAGCGCACGGCCAGGCTCGCGATCCTAACCAGCTCGGGTTAACTGGTGGCCGACTCCAGCTAGCGTTCATTTAAGAACGTCCCCTCGCCCCCCGTAACCAGCTCCCCCTAAGGTGCCAAACCCCACCAAAAGCCTCTCTAAGAGTACGCCCACCCAAAACGAAGCGGGTAGGGGGAAGGGGAGGTCAGAGCAGGACCAGGGGAGGGGTCAGAGCCAGGAGCTCGCCCCTCCTTCTCGGGAGGAAACGGGCGGGCGGCGGGTTAACCCTTTTGTTCCAGGTGGGCCAAGCTACGAAGCCTCTCCGTCCTTTCCCCCCCACCCCCCTCCCAAGGCACAAAGAGAGGCCGCCCTCCTCCGACCTCCGGTGCGTGCTGCCCTGACCATTGGACGCCCCCAAAACCTCAGAGTCGCCCCTTTGGTCAAGCCGATCTCCTTAACTTGCCCTAGAAAAAGATTATTTGGTGGCGGGGGTGGGGGGGGAGTAGGGATTTGGAGCGGGGAGGAGGATAGGGATTTACATTATCTTATAGATTGAAAATGTATTCCATTCCCTCCCCGAAATAAAGGGTACGGTAACCAAAAAGTGGCGACGGCTCTTTCCCTCGTTGTAGTGGGTTGGGGCGACTGGGGTTGCCGCGCGCATCCCCCATCACCCGCTGGGAAATTAGAAAGCAGGCGGCGAGGGCAGCGAAGCCTCCAACAAGGCCCGAGAGGAGACTGAAGACGCCCCCTCCCCCCACACGTACGCGAAAAACTTATCAGGCGACAATTTGGCGGGCCAGGGCGGAGGGGAGATAGTGGGAAAGCGACTCGCTCCTAAAGCCCCCGAGGTTAAATGATTAGGGAGAGAGGAGTCCGCTCGGCCGCTCCCGACTGGGCTGGGGGTCCCGAACTCCTCCCGACCCCGGAGACGCGCGGCGCGGAAGCGTGGGCCGGGTCAGCCCCCGGGAGCTCGCCCTGGACGCGACCGCCCAGCCCTGGCGCGACCTCTCCCCTCCGGCCCCCGGGGCGCGCTTTGCGGAAAGCGGGCGGGCCAGAAAAGCCACGCGCAACGCTAGGCGGGTGCACCCCAGCGGGGTTGCAGAGCGCGCACGACCCTCGCGCCCCAGAGCCCGCACCCCTCCCGCCGCCCGCGGTTATTTTTAGGAAGTCGGAAATCAAAGATGGCTGGAGGTCAGGCCCCGAAAGGTTAGGGCGAAGATCGGCAGGCGGCGTAGCCCCGGGAGAAAAGAGGGAAACCAAAAAAAGAAATTTTTGAAACAGAAAAGAAGGCAATCTTGTGCCCTCGTCCTCCACTTCTTCCGGCCCGAAGTCCCCTCCGCAGCGCGGGTGGCCCGCACCCCAGCTCCTGGGGGGTGCGGAGAGGTCGCGCCCCCTCCCCCTCACGGCACGGGAGGGGCGCGTGCAACAGATCGGCCTCCCCCGGGGGGTCTTCCCAGGGTGCGCCCCTTCCCCAGCCTCCTAGAAAAGCCCCCAACGGGTGAAGGAATAGAGTGGGGACCCCCGGCGTCTTTTCTTTTAAAAGCGGCGCCAGGGGGGGAGGAGGGGAGCCTAAGTTACAAGTGGGGGGGGTTACTAGTGAGGGAGTGCAGCCAATTAAGAGAGGGGCAGAGGACGCGGAGAAGGGGACCTCTCGGGGTCAATCCTACACTAAGAGCAAGACCTGGGGGTGAAACTTCCACGAGAGAGGAGAAGCGAGAAAAAGTGTAAAATTAACGCGAGCGGGGGTGGGGGTGGGGAACCAGGCTGCCGGTTAGCCCCTGGAACTAAGCCCCCGGATCCAAGTTCCCGAATCTGCGGAGGGAGCCGCGGCCTCGCCAAAGCCCGCGCCTCCGAGGGGCGGGCGGGCGAGCGTCTAGGAAGCTGCCCGCCCGGGGCGTGCGCCCCCCATCCCCACTCACCCGGCGCCCCCGCCGCCGGCGCCGCTGGGGCCGCATCTGCAGACTCGGGGGCCGGCTGCTGCGGCTGCCGCTCGCCCTGATCCTCCTCCGAGTTGATGTGCTGGGGCTTCGCCTGCTTGCGCCTCGACATGGTGCGAGCATCGGGGCGCCTGGAGAGCCGCGGTTATTTGCCCACTCCGCCACAAATTCCTGGAGTTGGGAAATTTACCCCCCTTCGGCCGGAACGCGCATGTCCCAGTAATTATTATTATCAATAATGCATTGCGATTTATCATGAGCCCTGACAGCTGATTGGCCTGGGTCCAAGACCTCAGAGATCATTTAAATAAGCCCTCATTGATCAGGGAGGGGCGAGGCATTCTGGGCTTTGTAGTCCGGCCCTACAAGCGACAAAGGCGTGTTCATCGGGGGAGAGCAACTAATTAGCATTCGGGCTCAGATTGGCTGGGTGCTGGGCGAAATCCGAGGGGGGACCATCCTCGCTTCAGCTATCTGAGTTCTGGGAGAGAAAGAGAAAAATAATTGTGTACTTACTAAAAACTAGGAGTTTCCGTAACAGTTTTGGAACAAGCGTATTTGGTAGTGTGCTCCAAAAATTACTTTTGTAAGGTTGATAACCGCGCAAGCTGGGGAGGAAGGTCTTTCCAGTGAAATATTTTGTCTCAATTTTTACCTCTAACAAAACAATAAACAAACAAAAAACCCTGAGATTTGACCCTTGTCCCCTCCCATCTCCTTTTTCATTGAAATGTTTAAATTGAGTTTTGAGATATCCGAAGAATGGCGGTATATTCAACCTTCCCCCCTCCTCTCAACCCTTAAAGTGGCCTTCAAATTTCCCAAATTTCAGAGTAGCCCCTCGCCATGATTTATTTCCTTTAAATGCTAAATAATAACCTCCAAGATTCATACGCGCAAAGTCTGGTTTTCTGTCACAGTGCAGATCTTGATTTAAAAAAAAAAAAACTTTAAAATGACTGGATACTAAATATAGAAAAAGTAGATTAAAAACAAGTAGAGTCAGAGATAATATCAAAACATGGAGAGGTTGTGTTTTTTCCCCCCACAAGCCTTAAACGTCTGCTAACATCTTACAACTGAGACAATCCTCTTACCTCTCCCATGATTGAGCAACGGGCATTGTCAGAGAAACTGGGTGTTGCCAAGCTAGCCATTATTGGAATTTTTTTGCTATACCAACTTTACTATCGAAAAGATGTATATAGTTCAAAGTGATTGCATCACCCTGACTTGGAGACGCCTGAAATCTTCTAAAATTGTGTATGTGTGTATACGAATTCCTATAGTAAATTAACATGTATTTTATTCCATTAACTCCCTTGCACGGTATCAATACTCAGTGTTGAGTAAATGATGAAATATTCAGCCTTCGAAGTCTTTGACTCAGTGATTCCCTGATTCCTCTCCGCCTGTCTTAATTTAGCACTGACTCCATTGTAGGGAACTATGCAATTATAAACCCTTCTTCCACATTTGTGCATTGCATTTTCTTGATTAGTTATTCATCAGGTTCCCAGCTTGTAACAGTTTCTTGTAAGCTCATCGGGAATGCAAGCAAAATAGAATGCTAAGCTGATAAATATGTTCACCTGGTTGTTTGGACAACCCAAGGCAGAAAATAAATCAGCTTGATCATCTTTTTCATATTCATGGTCATCAATAAAAACTTACTGAAGGAAGTAAGGTTAACCTCCAGTTTTTGAGTCTTTGTTTGAATACTTGGAATTGTTTTAAGTTCCCTCAACCAGAAAAGATAGAATTACAGTCAACAGCCCAAGTTGGAAATGTAAGAATTTGGTTTCATAATACATGGAAGCTGTTTAGCATTCTCATACTGAGTAAAAAAGCCAATTAACGCCTGCCTGGCTGACTAATCTGCTTATATTCCCAACACCTTTTCTGTGTAAGGTAGGCCATGTAATTTACCAATGTAAATGCGTGTGCATAGAGGCTTACAGCTCGTGAAATATTAGTGGTTTAAGGAAAAGTTCATTTCACATATAGGTGAATATTGAAAAGAAAGACCCAGTACACTTTTCAAATCTACCTCCTACTGATGAGCTGCAGCCAGGAGCTAGAAACCAGAGGCAAAGTAAGACCTTAGAACAAAGCGGAGCAGGGTGAGTGGTGCAGAAGGCTAGTCTGTAAGCCAAGGTAATTTTTTGATTATTTAATATTCCTTATAAACAACCAAAAGACGTGCACGTGTGATGAGAGTCAGGGAAGAGAAGAAAAAAAAAAAAAGATCACTGTACAGGGTTAAACTTTGTAATGCCTTTTGTTAGATGACTGGGTTTATGTATAATCAGGTTCTTCTCCCCGTTTGCCCCAGACAGAAATTGTCGGGAAATTGACTTCTTTTACACAAGCAGTCAATGAACACTGAGGCTTTATTGTGTCTAAGGGTATTTGGGATACATAATCCCATTTTTATCGTCATTAAAATCCTTTATTATGGAGAAGGAAATGGCAACCCACTCCAGTATTCTTGCCTGGAAAAGTCCATGGACAGAGGAGCCTGGCATGCTGCAGTTCTTGGGGTTACTTGACTGAGCATGTGTGCCCGAGGGTGGAGGGAGATGGGTTGGTAGCAATAAAGTGGTAGACCAAAAAAAAAAAAAAAAATCCTTTTTTATTCCCATTTCATCCAATGCCTCCTGGGTACTAACAGATGTATGATGAACGTATAAATTCAGGAACTTTCCAGTTAAAGCTGTCTGTGGAACTCAAACCTTCCAAGTCCACAGAATCCTACCACTGCTGTGTTCTGCAAGGAACTTTCTCCCCTCCTATTCTTTGCCTCTCTTCACCTGCCCATTTCTACTAAGCCCCCAGTCTCAGCTCGAAGTTTTCTTCCTAAAACCGGTTTGTTCTCATCCAAATTAGAACAGTCTTGCATATTAGTGTAAATCTTTTAGAAGCAAGTTCTTTCCTTTTATAGCATAGTTCAAAGTGTATAATTGTAGATTGAATGGTATATGCGTTTATGATTGCTTTTGCCCAGTGCAGTCTCCACAAGGGCAGACACCTCCACCCCTGTGTCTCTAGCACAGCCATCGTAACAGAACAGGGAAGTCACAGCCAGTGACTTTGGAGAAGGATTTTGGGGGACTGAATATAAAACAGGGTATTAAAAGCCAATTACCACTGATGGAGAAGCTGGTGCTGAAGCTTAAACTCCAATACTTTGACCACCTGATGCGAAGAACTGACTCATTTGAAAAGACCCTGATGCTGGGAAAGATTGAAGGCGGGAGGAGAAGGGGACGACAGAGGATGAGACGGTTGGATGGCATCACGGTCTCAATGGACATGAATTTGAGCAAGCTCCAGGAGTTGGTGATGGACAGGGAGGCCTGGTGTGCTGCGGTCCATGGGGTCGTAAAGAGTCAGACACGACTGAGCGACTGAAATTAACTGAACTGACCACTGATGGAAATGTACAATGTGCAACTGTCATGGTTTCTTAAAAAATCAAAATAGAATTACCATAGGATCCAGCATTTCCACTTTTGGGTATGTGAAAGAACTGAAAGCTGGGACATCAACAGATTGTTCGTGCATATTCATAGTAGCATCATTCACAGGCATTAAAAGGTGGACAGAACCCAAGAGTCCATCAGCAAGTAAATGGCTGAACAGACCGTGGTGTCTACGTACAATGAAATATCATTCACCCTTAGAAATGAAAGAAATTCTGACTTGCTACGGCCTGGATGAAACTTGAAGATATTACGCCAAGGGAAATAAACCAGTCCCGAAAGGACAAATACGATTCCAGTTCTATGAGGTACCTAGAGAAGTCACGTTCATGGAGACAGAAAGTAGAGGGGTGATCACCAGGGGCTGGGTGGAGAGGGAAATGGGGAGTTATCGTTTAAAGGGTACGGAGTTTCAGTTTTGTAAGATGCAGAGTGTGCTGGAGACTGCACAATAATATAAATGTTCTACTTACTACTGAAGAGTTCACTTAAAGATGGTCAAATGGTAAAAATTTTATGGTATGTATATTTTACCACAACTGGAAAAAAAGGCAATTACAAACTGATGGCTGCCCAACCATATATATTTATTAAAAATCACTGAAGTGTACACTTATAATGGGTGAATTTTATATGTACAGCACGTCTAAATGAAGCTGTTGTTAAAAAGGTGATCAGGTATTTATGTTACGCTGAATGCTCAGTGATGTCCGACCCTTTACGAGCCTGTGGACTGTAGCCCTTCACGCTCCTTGGTCCGTGGGATTTCCCAAGCAAGAGTACTGGAGTGGGTTGCCACGTCCTCCTCCAGGAGATCTCCCTGACCCAGGGATGGAACCCACGTCTCCTGCATTGTGGGCAGATTCTTTACCACTGAGCCATCTGGACTTCCGTTTAGACATTTGGTTGAAATATAATTGAAAGAGCCGTAATTACCTGTGTGTTTTTTCCTGCGTGGGATTCCCAGCATCTTAGTCTTGAAAAGACAGAAATGGCAAAGCTGGTGTCCATAAATCACAGTCTGCCACTGTGAAAGGATTGCCCCATTGGGCCCCTAATTATTTGTACCAGGAAATAGCTAAGCGGACCAATGTGGTAACCACTGCTGCTTTAATTTGGGAAATCTAAGGTTTGGATTCAGGAAGTAAAAAGAGTGGATTTTTTTCTCAACATGGACCAACCTCTTGGAGGCTATGGACTCATCGATTTGATATCTGCCTGCCTCAAATAGAAGGTTTTGTATGTCAGGAAGCAGCCGTTCAAATCTAGAGATTTAGAAGTTGAGGGAAAATTGCTTCAGAATTCATCTTTGTCATTCACTGGGAGTGCTTTATTATGGGGCCGACTGTCCACTCTTCTGAGCATCCTGGCCCAGAACTCTTTTATTGAGATGATTTATATTTGCAAAATCTGGCTAATTGCAATAATCACCACTTAAATGATGATACTCTCCTGATTCCTGTTTTAATGTCTCTCTGCTTGTTAACATTTTATCAATCCCAAATTGGTATTGAACAATTTCTAGCTCCAATTAGTCTTCCCTGTTAATATATCCTCTAATATATTGAAGCCCACAACTGCATACTCAAAGGAGAAAAAAAAAAAAAGTACAGCTACTCCAGCAAGTTCATTAAAGCAGGAATGAATTGTCTAAAACAGGAATTTCTCCCAGTTACTTCAGTTGAAGAGGAAATGGACTAA